TTATTTGCTTCAATACTGTTCAAATGGAATATGAACATCTCTGAAATCTAAAAATCAAACGGTTTGCAACTTGAAAGTAGCTAAAGTCATGTGTTTGACAACACTTTGTCTCTAACTAGAGACTTTCAAAAGAATTTAACATAAACTCTGGCGATATTAAGCATTTTCCTAATGTCCTTCAATCAAATTCTCATGATTTTTCTTCATGAACATGCAATGATTGCAATGGGAAAGCGGGAATGCCTTAAAAAACAGGATGTCTCAAAAGTTCAGAGCCACCTTGTTTTTCGGTCGTTAAATTCAGCTTTTAAGATAACAAAAAACTATTCAAAGCGAAATATAAATAAATGTTTGTAATTATAGCAAATTTGTGTTAAATTTAGGCCTTTGCAAGGAAAGAGCAAGTCTTTTAATTGGCAATATATCGCCAGAATCAACCGAAATGCATGACCGCTTGAATTTCTCTCAAAAGCCAGAAATTTCTAATTAAACGTAGTCACTCAAAAGCAATCCTATTTTTTTAAACTCTTTCTAGACGAATAGCAAAATTTCAGGTTGATTGAAGTTGAAACGCAAAACTTATAGCTTATAGAACTTTTGAAACACCCTGTACAGTGTTGCCTTTTAAGCAACTTTTTGGCTTTCGAAGACAAGACATTAACCTAAACTGAAAAACAACAATTAATCCTAAAATCTACGCGTAATTTTACATAGAATAGAAGAACCGTAACATTTTTTAGTGACTTTGACAACCCTAGCCGAGCAGTACAAAAAATGCTACGCCGAATGCTGAAAAAAAGTTAAATTCGAGTTTGGCGCCTCTAAAAATCTCCTTTTCCGTCTTTTTCTGCATTAATACGCTTTTAGAGTTAATTACTATAAAAATAGTGCTTTTTGAGCTTCATTATTGCAAATGCGAGCTTATCCTGGCTAACAAAAATAAGCACATTTTTGACAAATCTCATTTTTTCGAGCAGCCATCGAGCAAAACTCATGGTTTAAAAACCTTTTCATTGAAAAAAACAAAAATTAACATTAACAAATTTATTCTCTAGATTGCTTTCAACAATTTGTTTTATTTCTTCTCGAAAATATCTTCATGAGCGGTTGCACAAGACGTTTTGGGAAGCCGTCGATGGTGACCAAAAGATACGCAGGATCGAGTTCAGCTCAAGATTTCTGCAATCATTTTTTCAGTGAATCAAGGCTTGAACGTGATTGTAAGCAGGCTTTTGCTTTGAGAACAGTCCAGACTGAGTAATTCATCGGATTTAAATCGAGGCTTGATGATGGCTACTGCTTAAAACTCGTTGAAATGGCATCGGATTGTATAGGTACTTTTCGCGAACCTTCTTAACACTCTTATTTGTCGTTACGGTAGCTTTTCGGCCCGGCCTGATCGATCAGCAGTTGTTCCAACATCATTATATCGACGAATTGTCTTGGAAACAACCGATTTTGCCACCATCAGCCTTTGAGAAATCTCAATTGGCCAAACTCCTCTCCGAAAAAGCTCAATAATCGAATCTTGATGAGTAGATTTCCTCACCATACCTGACCAAAATTAATTTTAAATGAGTAAATAACATTTTTTAGAGTCAAAATTTGCATAATAAACAAAAAGTAGAAAAGATTTTCAACCCAAAAGCGCATGACAGCAAAGCGCGTTAAACGGAGGTTGGTTTGGGTAATTTTGGGGCATCCTTTATATAACTCACCCTGTATTTGTTTGCGCCCATCAACTAGTCTTATAGAGTTTCAGTCTTTGTATACTTCTTTTTTAATTTTACCTCCGTAATAAAGTATTAATAGGTAAGCATAAACAATCAAAAAGTGGAGTAAAGTGGAGAGAATTGTTACTCCAGAAGGATATTATTTACGATATTATTTAAAGATATTATTTTTACGATAGATAAAACCATTTTGGGACTAAAGTTTGATATAAATAACAGTTACTCACAAGCATGTCGGCACAATTCTCTTCATCTTCTTCGCATAGAATTGCATTGTTTTTTCAGCGGTGATGTTCAGTCCGGAAAAGTTCTTTGCCAGCAAATAACCGGATATAACAAAAAAGCTGAAAGTTGGGGTTTTAGGTAAACTTTAAATTTGATTTATGTGTGAACGGCATGCTCTCTTAAAGCATTTCCATAGTTGCTGTGAGAGAGAACGACAGAGATCGCTGAATAGCCGCGAAAAAACTGTAAACTGACTGTTTTGTCTGGAGCTAAGCGAAAACTGATGGATAACAAGATATTGCCAAAAAGTATCAAAATATAGCTGGGCTTTTATTCAAGAATATGACCGACTTGTACAAAAAAAATGACCGAATTGTACTGTCTTCCAATTTCACATGAACAACCCTGAATTGAAGCGATTTTCCCAGCGTTTTCCCTCCCTTGTTCAGCTTTTGTTAAAGATCGAAAGATCTGATCAACAGCCATGTTGATAACTTCAAATATTGTTGAAAGAATAGCAACTAAAAGAATAATATAGCTAGTTTTCAAAAGCCAAGTACCAGCTGAGATTTGTTCAAAGAGAATGATAAGTTCTTTGTTCGTTCCACTCAGCCAGCCGCTGTTCCGGGAATAAAAGTCAGAGAAAAGTGTGAAAAAAACAAACCACTTGATCTGAAAGTTCTAAGAAAGGGAATTTTTGGGAATTGCTTTTCATTATTCATCATTTTTCTCTTTTCATTCATCATCTTTCTCTTTCCGTTGCACAATTTTGTAACTCTTGCCCATATTTTCGCGGAAAGACATCAAAAAAGGTAACAGAGTGAAAGATTGTTTGACTCTTTTTGGCTGAATTCCTGGATCATCTTTTTGGTAATTCAAAATGCATATAAAAGTCCTTTGATTCAAATGAATTTCAACAAATCTTTTCATTCAACAAAACCAAAATGAAGATCTTCTCATTCCTTCTCGTTCTTGTTAGTCTTCTCGTTGTTACCGAGTGAGTCTATCTTTTATTTCTCAAGAATAGATCCAATAGCTACCGTACCAGCAATTAAGCCAATTAGTCTAATTATAAAATAAACAATTAGTATGTGTAGTGCTAAGCAATTAGTATGTGTGAAGCTGTGAGTACTAAGCTTTAATGTGAACAAATTTTAGTGCATGTGGAGCTTTCTGGCATTGCGGCCGAAAGAGGAGAGAGGTTGCTCCAGCTGAATTCCCATCTGAGTTCCCATCGAATGAGTGAGGATTTTTGATTCTATAATAGTCGTAGAAATTTAGCACTTGCTATCCTAATGAAATCCATTTTAGCTTCAGCTCAAAATTCGTGAAGCGATCCGTCGGATTCGACGAATAAAAACACTTCAAAATGTTTTAAGTAACAACTTTTGGAAAGCTTCTTTTTCATTTTTTCAAATAAAATCTGTTCATTGAGTATTTAACGCTTTGAATGTTGCAAAGAAATAAAGTTTTCAGCTTTAAAAAGACAGTTTTCAGTCAAATACGAGTTCAAATTATTCATTGTTTATTTCCAAAAAGACAATAAACAACAAGATTCATGAAGTTTCCAACTTGAAAAAGAGTCAGAAAAAGAAAATGTTTGGTGAGGTAAAAGCCATGGAGTTTTAATGGTAAATCTCTGAAATTCAATTGGATAAGTTGAAGAAAATTACGTTGCTGTCTTCTTTTCCAGATGAGAAAACTTCTCAGGAACACTGACCAAAATGACGCACGCCATTGTGGTTGTGAAGATGCAAGTTAGGAGAAAGATTCCTAAAAGAATATTTTAACATTATCAGAACTTTTAGGATTATCAACAATCTCCAATTTCTGCAGTTAGAACTGTTTCAAGTGCTCACCTAGAAGTGAAAAATGCCTCCTTTTGGGTATTTGTTGTGAGACCATATCGACGAAGGTCGTCACTGACATCATACTCGTCAAAGCGATGCTCTAAAAATTGATAAAAGACTCATGAACGTTTAACAATCCGGCTAAAACTAATCAGAACTGGTACTAGTACTGACTAGCTAAAACTAGTCAGTACCAGTTTTGTTTCCCAAGATAATTCATTACTTTGCTCAGCTCTTCCTTTTTGACATTCTCTGTCCAACCAATGATCGATAGAAAAGTCAAGAGAAAACAAGGGATGGTGATCACATAAATGTAGAGGCTTGGCTCTCTTTTACCTTCAATGAAACGCCTTCCTAAACATATGCCATTTTTATACCTAAAATGATGGTTGTTAAGCTTTTTTGACTGAATGTTGACTTTCCTTGAAACAATTTTGAAAACTCATCACTCCATCAACCCCACTCGCATTCAACGGCGTCTTAGAAACATTTGTGATAAGAAATTCTCCATTTCCAAGCTAGATTTTGTTGGCTGAGACTTACAAATAATACTGTACCTTAAGCTTTGCCTAAATTGCTTGAAATCTCGAAAAACGCTTATCAGAACCTATCGATGTGGGGTCGAAAAATGTAGCTGATGATGAGATCTTGTGGGGGATTAGAGTGTTGAGCCTAAAATAGTTATCAATTCTGCTCGTCGCGGTGCACTATATTAGGGAAAATACAGGCACAGCTACGGGTACTTCTTCTCCGTATTTCTTGAAAAGCTCTCCTTGTTGGTCGATACTTTCCGAATTTGTCCTAGCTGTCCTGCTGCACTTTAACAGTATCTGAGTTTTGATAGTAACAAGCCTACACTACCAAAAAACCAGCCATCAATCCCAAGTTGAGCATAATCTACCGAATCTGCTTGACCAGATAGAAATTGTGAAAAAAAGTTAATAAAAGGAAACAATATGGTTTATCGGTTAAAGTTTGGAAATAAAAGCTTGAAGTTTTTGCACATCAAGTGCGCAAACAATAGTGAACGGCTGAATGAAATTCGAGATCACACTCGAAGGATCAAAAAGACGAACGTTCTAGTTCAAAAAAGACAAACATTGTAACCAAATTTTGTTAGAAAGGTTTATTTCAGAAAGAAAATGAGAACATTTGGAATCTTGATGGTAGTTTTGTTTCATGAGTCCAATCAAACGGCACTCTTCATGAATTTTGAGCTGAATCTGAAATTTGACATGAAATTACCATTCTTTAGGCTAGACTTGAAGAGATTTAGTCTTAAATATTAGATTATGGGACATTTGCCGTTGCCCCGTGTCCCGACCCTTCTGCCATTGGCAATCTAACTTTGAGCTTAAATATCTTGGTGTTGGGTTGTCCAATTTAAAGAGTCTTTGTACCAATCAGTAGAAAAAGACTTGGCGCATCTAATGATACCAAGAATATTTAAATTGGACAAGCCAACAGCAAGATATTTGAGCTCAAAGTTGGAATGCCAATGGCAAAGGAGCCGCGGAGCGTATCAAATGTCCGACATCCTAAAAATTACTTACACAATTGGGGCAACGTCTCTCTTGAACAGATTAATCGGACACGGTGGGTATATGCATTCAATTTGAGGGTAGAGCTCTCTCTTCTTTCGACCGCAACTCCATAGAGCTCCGCAGGCACTGAACACTTATTTTATTTGAAAACATACTTTAATCAAAGAAGTTTAGAGAGCTATCTTGGCTAAATGTTTTGTTCTGGAAGTTATAAGTAGCTATAATAATTGAAAGACTTTGCAGTACTTTAGAAAAAGCTAAAGTTGTCACCATTGCAAATTGTTAGTAGTAATCCTCTTTCTAGGGCTTTGAACTAACTTTTTAGACTTACTCAGAGACGACAAGAAGACTGGCAAGAACAAGAATGAATGCGAAGATCTTCATTTTGGAGTTGTTTAATGAGGAATGGATTGGTTGCAAAGTTGAGAGTCCTTGCTTTTATACGATGAACAATGTGTTCATTTCTAAATTCTGATCCAATGATTCATTGCAATTCATGGAATCATCGTAATCCTTATATTTTGTTTCTTGGAAGAATCTTTTCTTTGAAAAACATGACGAATTCTTTGTCCGTTCCGCTCATTTATCCATTGTGTTCCTGGAATGAAAAGTGAGAGCGAAAAGTTCAAAAAATAGATCACGACCTTGAAAAAGATTTGGCGATTGGTTATTCATCACGGTTGTTTTATTTGAAAGTCAGATTAGATTTAGACTTGCAGATTTTCAAATTGCCAGACTAGTATAGAGATCGTAACATAACCAACTATATAATAAAAATTTTGCAACAACTCCCGTTTTTGCTAGAAAACTATCAGTTTATCCAGCTTTAAGGCATACTGTTTTTGAAGCATCAATGAAAAGAATTCTCTTTCTTTCGGAAAACACGAAATCTCTTTGACCGATTCTTTGCTTACGACAGCTTTGAGTAGACATTGTTCCAGTGTCGTAGTGAAATGTAGCTTGAAACTGGATCTTTTGCTTGGATTAGATCTTTGAAGGATCGTGATTGTTAACAAAATTCCTTTAATGATCAAATCACCTAGATCAATTTCTTCAACATTTGGGGAAAGACTTTTTAAGTAAAACCCAAGCAACCCGAATACTTTAACCCTTGCAATCATAGAGATTCTCAATGAGTAACTGATTCATGAAACTTGGCTCTATCTGTAAACTTTCAGCTTAAGCTCATCGATTGAATTTCAAAGTGTCGGTCACTTGAGCATTTCAATTTTGCATTACTCGTTGAAATAGAAAACATGAGCTAGTGAGGAGATTTTTAACGAATTTGGTCTGGAAAAGAAATTTCAAAACAAGGAATTGATGGGTGGGCTCTGGTGGCGAAAAACCGGCTTCAAATTTGATGAATAGGAATTTAAAAGTAGTTACATATTTGAGAAGAGAAAAGCTATTGGTTGTTATTTTTGACCAATCATTGAATGGTTCAACTCGATCACCTTCTAAAGAAAATAAGAGTCGACTGCTCAGAGGTTCATATTTGTTGTGTTCTTCAAATGATATTAACAAGTTTTTGATATTAACAGATACTAAGCTTTTGATTTATACAAGATATTAACACATTCACGACGAAGGGACTCACATGGTGGGTTCCTCGATTTATTGCAGATCATTTGAGTCATCAGATCGACCCGAAAATTTGTGAGAATACCAAATCGATAGCGGGGAATCCAAATCGTGTTAGATTTTTAAAAGATGTCTTTCTGGCAAGATTTTGTGCCTTTTCGACTGGATGACATGGTGCAGACGTCCCAGACATCCCAGACGTCCCAGACATCCCAGACGTCCCAGACATCCCAGACGTCCCAGACATCCCAGACGTCCCAGACATCCCAGACGTCCCAGACATCCCAGACGTCCCAGACATCCCAGACGTCCCAGACATCCCAGACGTCCCAGACATCCCAGACGTCCCAGACATCCCAGACGTCCCAGACATCCCAGACGTCCCAGACATCCCAGACGTCCCAGACATCCCAGACGTCCCAGACATCCCAGACGTCCCAGACATCCCAGACGTCCCGTCTCTCTCTCTCTCTCGACTCTCGTACCAACCGGCAGTTTTGTGAAAAACGGCCTATTGCAAAACGGATATTTAGCTGTAAATTTGTACCCAGGGGTTTTCGAGGTTGGGAATCGATTGGAGCTATTCTTTTATTGGGTTTTTTAGTGAAAATCGGCCCAAATTTATACCCCTTTTTTCAGAAAACTTTTCCACACTTGACTGTAAATGTAATAGTTTTTAGCAAAGATCGGCTTTGAAAACTATGACAATCCGCTCTTCCAGTTAATCATCACCCATTTGATCACCGTTTTCCATCTCGCCATCCGTTTTCTATCGTCATCGTGATCGTCAATCGATTCCTTCGAAGACTTGCCACTGGATTCACCTTTTTATCCTTCTTGAGTGCATCCCTGTTTTACTTGATTTACTGATGCGGTGGGTTTATGAATTGATTAATGAGTTGAGTTGTCTAAAAAGAAAATAATACGAATTGAATCTATTCTTTGGAAAACTTTAAACCCGATTTTCAGCTTTGTTGTCACCTATTTCAATTTACCCTACAAAGCGAAGAAGAACGACCCCCACAAACAACGATTTCAACGCTTCCACATTAGACTTTCGGCTAAATATCGCGGAAATTGATTCTCAAAAAAGCAATTAAGAATTTGAGTGATTTTCTGAAAGCGTTGAACTTGAAACTTTTATTACTTTGGAAACAAAATTCTCTTCGGTGATCCGTCAAAATCTAAACAACTTTTTAAAAAAGCTACCAGTGATCCATAAACTTTTCAATCGTTTCAATGTTTTCATATTCCTTAATCACTTGAATAGACGATTCCTTCGCTACTTGTTCCTTCATTTTTCGATTTTTTCGATGATTCTATAATATGCCAAAGTTTTATTTCAATCAAAAGCTTACGCTGTTCATGCTTTTGCGGATTCGATCGGCTCTTCCACGATGTGTTAAAGAAAGAAATATTCTTGCAAACTGAAAAAAAGGTTTTGACCGAACACAAAACAACAAACGATTCCGGTTCTTGTTCCGAAAATGCATCCAATCATGAAGTAACTGCAACAAAGCAAAGCAACACCGCCTCCAATGGAAATCCAGAGAGCTAGTTTTAGATTCAACTCTTCACAGTCAGGACTTGAAGGCAAATCTAAGTTTGAAGCCTTGTCGCTATTTTTGAATTGTGTTTATCTCACCTGTGACCTCTAAAGTAAGATCCGTTGAAATTGAAGTCGAATCTATAGTCGTTGAAAAAGTTGTCTCCATTATTGGAGTCGTTTTTTTCGTTTTCTTGGTTGTTTTCGGTGCTGAGGTCGTTTTTTTCGTGTTCTTCGTTTTCGTTGAGATCATTGTAGTTGATGTAGTAGATGGAGTAGTTGAACCCATTTCTGTAGTGTTTGCCTTATTTCCATCTCGCAGAGTCACCAAAAAGCCGGCACTCTCATTGCTGGGTCGAGTTGGAGTCCATTTAAGCTGATTAAGCATTTGATTATTTAAAAAAGAAGGTAAAACTTACATAAAAACAAGAAAAATTAGAGAGTATCACAGTGCTGTCCCTGGTTGTATTGCTGAAGAAGAATTGTAATTGAATATTCTTAATCAGATAGTGCTCTAACTATCGGTAATAGATAAAATGATGTTGGAAAACTGTTTATCTTGGACCAGGGCTTGCAAAACTTGAAAGTATTCCAGGTTCTGTCATGGTTTATAGTAGTTAGTACAGACCAGACCGCTGAGACCGGCTCTGTTCTTTGTGCGCGCCCATAATCGCGCGCTTTCTCGCACACGGTCCTGGAGGGGGTCATAGAAAGTAGAAGTATTTACGGGCTTCTATCGGTAGCGGATTTCCTTCGTGGGCCACAGTAGCTGATGTCCTAGTAGCTGACAGTAACAGTTTGCTGCTACTGTCAGCTCGTGTACCCGATCAGTACTGGATCACACAGACAGTGAATTACAGTATTCTCTAAAGTCTGTTCCTCCACGAGTAATGCCTTTTTTAAAACGCACACTTGAGAAAAGTTACCGTACTTTTAGCGAAAATTATTGCAAAAAATCACGAGCGACGACTTATATATGGTTCTTTTTAAAGATATTCAGCCGTTTAACTGATTTGGTGGCAAATTTCCGTCACATGTAAAAATATTCAATTTACTCGACGTGTAAAGAGGATCAGTAAAGAGGATTACTCGACCAAAAAACGTCGATTAATCGAGTAAAAATTACTCATGCAGATTTTGCTCGAGCAATTACTTACTTGCGAGGAACGCACCCTAGTATTCTCTCTAATAGTAGTGCGTCCTACTCTTTTTTCAACCCCTTCCTGGACCGCAATACTATTAGAGAGTGCACTATTATTAGAGAGAATACGGTATTCTAGTGTTGTCAGTTACATTTAAATTCAATTAAATGAAAACAAGATACTTATAAAGCTCGATGTAGTACTGCGCATCAGTGCATGGATCAGATTCATCATTATCATAGATAAACCCGTTAGCCTCCAATCGTCCACCATCAAGGTATTCCACCCGAAAGGTTGTCAAGCGGTTTTCCTGAACGAAAAGGAATACAAAACAAAATATGAACTAAACTGGTGTATCAAAAGTTCCATAGAATTCTTGTTTATGTTTCTTTGATGCAGTCCACAATTGATCAGCTTTATCGAAGATCCAGGGATACCAAAATGGAGTCCACAAAGAAAAAGCGTTCAATTGCTCGACTGAATGTTGTGAATTGTGAATAAGATAGCTTTGGTATTATGAAATTTAACTAAAACCAACCAACGTCTCTTGTTTCAAACTCGAGACAAAAAGTGCACCCGAATTTACTGTCTGAGTACACTGTTGTGGCACTTGCTCTCGAATAAATGGGTTCACTTTTCCTTAAGTCAATTGTTAACTACATATTTGTATTTGTATTTGTTGTCAAGAACCCACTTATCACGAAAGAGAGGATCACTTGCTTCATTTTCGGAATATGTGCCGGCATAATATAAGTGAACAGCGTCAGCCGGACATGTTAACTGAAAGATATGATGGGTTCAATAGAAATTTACTCTTTATTAGAAAAACCTCAAAAAGGCGACAACCATCACTTTCCGTGTTCATATTTTGCGCCCAAAAATAGGTCAATGGTCCATCTTTGCTAAAATGGCTACGATATTGCTTCGTAGATATTTTCTCTTTCCTAAAACGTGTTTTTTTTGAAAACTACAATAGACTTGCCTCTAGTTTGGTTCAATCTATTTACTTTTTTACGTACGGTAAGACTAGTTTTCAAAAGTTATCGCCTTTTAGAAAACTCATTGAGAGGAATACATTGAGATTTTTGAATTCAATAACGTCAACGATACATATTAGACATTTTGGGAGTAGAACAAATACCTCTTTAGCGCACCTGGGACATTTGCGCACCTTTTCGCCCATTATAACAAGGACCGCCCTAGATCCATAGGATCATTTGGCTTCGCTTTTTGTTTTTTTTTCCTGCTATTTCTCTGTAGCTTTGATTTCTTGATGCTGTCTGTATCTGTATCTGTTGCTTTCCTGTCTTCTTGATGGTAGTTTTTTCACTCCAAAGCAAAATTCGAGGGACAAGCGCAGAAAGTGCCGTCCGCCCTTCACGTTCGATTCTGTATTAGCTTGTTACAGCATTTTACAAAACCAACTCACATTTCTAAGTAGATCTAATCCAATATCATGTGCATAGATTTTGATGGCGCTCAAATCTCTTTTCTGATATTGAGAACACGTATCAACTTGCTTGAATGTTGTATCTAAAAACACAATTATCGACAAAGACCAAAAGCTAACCAAAAGACGAAAAATCGATTTTGTGAGGCCATTTAGTGATAGCTGCTTTCTTTGCTTTCTCTACGTTTTACCGTCTTTTTTTAAGCCACCTCATTGATAAAGGGTTTCAGGTGATCGTTAGCTCCACGAATGTCTTCACGAACAATTTCTCGTATCTGCGTGCCAACGTGATGTTTAACTATTTTCTTCACGCCACGTATCTTTTAATAGAACGATTAACGACTAACGACTAACCTCTTTTCCGTAGTTTTGGACCATGTGTGCATGATGACCCTTGCTATCAATGCACCCGTTTTGAGCTGAGTGTTTGCCAAGAAGACCACACTTTTTGCAAGCATCTGTAAGAAACAAGTATTTTCACTTTCATAAACTTTAAAAACACGACACTATAAATTCATATTTGTAAATCGATCCTTTGGTCTGAGTGTTCTCGTGGAGCCGAAATTCGAAGCCGCTCGCGTCATAAAACACTTCTTTATTCCTGTTGGATCGAGGTGTGTCAAAAAACTCTAAAAACGAACATTAATGAGAGGATAAGTTTTAAATAGGATCCAAAAGCAACTTTATAGGCGTAAAACGCAAAAAAAGTGTACCTTGGTCGAGCTGGTGTCATCTTCCGGGCTTCTTGAAGTCGATTCGTCGATTCGCAACTAAAAAAAGCAATCCTGATAAGTCCACCAACAAAAAACAAAAGAAATTCAAAAAGTGAACAAGTGAGGCTAAAAAACAATCGTGTGGGTCTATGGCAGTCCTTGTTATAATGGGCGAAAAGGTGCGCAAAAAAGTGCACAAATTTCCTAGGTGCGCTAAAAAAGGTGCGGAAATGTCTCGGGTGCGCAAAAAAAGTGCACAAGTGTCCGGATGCGCAAAAAAATTGCATTTGCCGCGCTCCCGACATTTTCACTTAACTTTAACTGAAATTCCCACCTGTAAGTGCTCGGACTGGGCACAATCGTTGCCATTGCATGACCTGGTACAGCTACAAAGAAGTGCGCTGATGACTTTTCTTGACTTGGAGCTGGTATAAATAAAATTTTATTGACCTCTAAATCTTTGCTAAACTTAAATTTCGAATTATCAATTCAACCATCAATTTTAACTCGAAAAGAAATCGCTGACTCGGATGAGGCCAATGGATCATCTTTATACTCAACAAATAACGTTGAAATGTTCCGGAGCATTGAGTGAGAAACGAAAAATGCGCCCAATTTGCCCTTTTTATGGACATATTGACTATAATGTTTTAGAGTAATTGTATTATATCTATAATTGTACGATATTTCACTCACATTGTATCGTTGAACATCGGTGATAACTGTTCCCCATTGACCGTGAATGGTAATCGATCGGCACAAGGATTGTCCGGATTCTAAATGAGCTAAACTTTTTGTTTTTACTGTAGAGGTTGTTCGAAAAAAAAGCGAGTTGGCGTCGAATTTCCTCGCGAAACACTTCTAGCACCAGAGCTGCCACGAAAAGCCACTACAGATTGTGAGGAAATTCGACGCGGACTCACTTTTTTCGAACACCGTGTAGCTTTTAAAGCTTAAAAACTCAGCATATTTACAAATTATTTGATTCTTTGTCCAATTACCGTTAAAGGAGCATTGCAACCATTTTGAGAGTAGTCGATGTAAAAGGTTGCTCCTTCAAACGATTGAATCGTGATGTTCTGAAAATGAATATGTGAACTTTAAAACATTCTACCAATAAGCAAATCCCATTCTTAATATAAAAAAGGTTTTCTGATAGAAATTACCTTGAATTTAGATAATCGTTGTGTATGGATTGCAAAAGAAGAACTATGAGAGGTTAATTGATAAATTCTTTCGCCTGGATCCTCTGAGCAAAATGAAAAGTCAAAGAAAACAAAGAACAGTAAATCGAACATTTTAGCATAAAATGTCATATTCTGTTTTGTTTTTTGTTCGTGAACCAAAATTTCCATATTCTGGCAAGTTTGGTGTAGCACTTTGTTGATAACACATGTCTAAATAGGGATCATCCCAAATTTCGGCGACGTAAAAAGACTGAACTTGTGATTGCAGAATAATGGAAAGTGAAAAACTAAGAAAAAGCTTTTGCAAGCTTTGTAAAACTTATAATGCTTGACGTTAATGCTTACAGATTCAAAAAAGTTATACTAAACTGCAAAGCAATACAAAAGTGATTGCAGCCGGATCCGAACCAGCTATTAAAAATAGTGGGAACCCACCGCACTACCAGTATACCACAAGCTCCCGTCTCCAACCTGCCTCTAACCTCCCCTTTTAACTCAAGGTAGAGTGGCGGCCATTTTTTTTTGGTAATTTTCCCTGCATAAACGGCTTCCCGTTTTTACGGCTTGAGAGGCCCTACGGGATAGATTTGACTGCAGATTCGGAATCAGCGTGAAAAACTGGTCTAAATGAGCTAGGTCTCGTTTTAAAACCCGATGTTACCTTGGTGAACCTCCCTTGTTAGAATGCTTTAATGCTCTTTTTTAAGGCATACAAATAGTCTTGGCTTTATTTTTGACATTGGCGATCCAAATTGTTCTAATGCTTAAGACAGTGAAGTTTTCAAGTTTTCATATGAATATGAAATATGTGATATGAACTGGCTCTTTATTGGTCTTATTGCTTTATTGACCTGCTCTTTATCAACGCTCGTCAGTCCTTGTTATTGTCATTTTTTGAATTGATTGCCCGAAGGTGATTGTGGTGTTAACGGTAATCTCGAGGTAAAAGCATTTTCTAAAATGTGCCTTCTAAAAAGTTACCGTGATCCTGTCATCTTTTTAGTGAAAATTAGCCTTCACCCACTTTTATAAGAACCAATCATTTCTTCTTGCACCCATCGTTTGCCCGTTTGTCCACTTCTTGCACCTCTTTCCAGCGCTTTTCATAAATGCTCAATTGGGTTCAAGTCTGGGCTTTGACTTGGCCATTGCATAACCTCAATGTTTTCCTGCTTGAACCAATTCTGTACGAGCCGAGATTTATGTTTAGCCTGCTTATCCTGTTGATAGAGGAAGTTTAGTGGCAATTTCTTTCGAGCAAATGGCAGCGTATGATCTCTAACCATGTCTAGATAAGCATCCTGATTCATGCTACCGGTAATTCGTTTTAAAGGAATCATTCCCACCTGCCTTATATGAGAATTGATCCACCCCAGAGAATTGATTAACTGTTGAAATTAAGTTGTGCGAAACAAACTTTTTGTTTACAGGGCGTCATAAATCCTGTATTCCTTCTAATCCAAACAGATTATACTTGCTCTCATCGGTAAAAAGGCACTTTGACCATTACTGAAGACTCTGGCACACACATGTTCTTTGGCAAATTTGACACTAAGCTTGCGATTTTTCGGCGAAATGAGTGGCTTATGTGCAGGAGGTCGTCCAACCAATTCAGCATCCCTCAAGCGTCTTTGTAGAGTTTTTGGGCTGATTGAATCTTTGACTTTCTAAGGCCATTCTTTATAAATATTCATTGATCTTTCGAGGATCTTGTTTGGAGAGTTAAATAATACGCGAGTCATCCTGAGAAGTCGTTATCTTTACTCGTCCAGTGTCTTTGAAAGCTTTGTTTGATCCAGTCAATGGATTCCTTTGTAAAATCTCTGAGACGGTGCCTTGAGATATTCCCAGAAATGAGGCAATCTTTTTTTGACTCAAACTCATTCGTCTCATTCGCACGACGTCATTTCGTTTCTCCGACGTCGTATCCTTTATGGTAATGATCACTAAAAACCAGAAATTATTAATATTCAGAAAAGAACAATAGGAAAACATGTTCAAACAAAATTAATTAGATCACAACAAATATTCCATAATTATGTCCTTTGGGTTTATCGTAATTTCTCTAAAAATATTTTTTTAGCCAACAAACAACGAGTTATTTTAAATGCTTAAAGAGTTTTCATTTGTTTTTCTTTAGCAGAAAACTGGAATTTGCACTTGATTGTGAGCCATTTTATGATTATCAACTTTATGAAACTTTATTTATGATTTCTTTTCCTTTTTATTTCTTTCTCAGCGCCTCGCCCAAATGATTGCATTTCGTTGGATCGGCCGCATCCTAAAGTTATCAATTTTTTGTTTTAAAAGTAAACTTACATAAATCTTTCTCATTCTTGATTCAGGTTTACATTGGAAAGTTTCCATAAAATTCTTCGAGAGAGTAAATGTGCCAAGTACACGAACAAATGAAGGTGAATGATCTCCACCGCTGAAAAAATCGTTGCCAAAAATCTTTAAACAAAACTCAACATCCTATTGAGATCTTGTGAATCAGTGCATCGCAGAGAGGCATATGCGTAATAAAACAATTTTCTTCTCGTGAATCCCAATTCTTTATACGGGATTTCCTGAATAGCAGGCTTTATAAACGAGCAATCAGTCAACAAGCAGCTATTCTTTTGTCCTTTTTATAGAAACCGGATTTAAAGGCAAAGACTACAACTAGACTTGCTTATCGATATTATCGATACAAACGGCATGCGCATGTTCAGATCTCGGTTTCTAGAAAGCTATCAATCTGCAAATTGTTTCATTGAAAAGCCAAGAATGTCAGCTTTTGAATGCTATTTTATATGTTGTATCCGATTTGGATTGAACTCGCCGCGGATATCTGCTTTGGATTGAAACATTATTTCACAGTAGGGTGTCATGTTTTTAAAAGGTTTTTAATCATTTTCTCGAAATTTTATAGAGGTTTAACTCTGGCAACCTAGAACAGTCCATTAGCATCACCTTTGCCCAAAAAAGTAGTTTATTTACTCGTTTTGACATGCTTCAGTATTTTTTATGTCTTTATGCTGTTTACCTTATTTTACGTTGTTGTTTTACAGATGGAGCCACGCTTCTACGAGAAATTCAACAGCTTCTTGGAGCGAAAAAAGACGAGCCAAATCCCGAAAGCCGAATACTTTTTCAATTGAAAACACGGGAGTCACACTTTATCACGAAGACAAACGACGGAAAGCCGGTAGCGAACCAGAAAGGCAACGACTAATTCAACAAGAAGAACTCTTCAACATTCTTTACCAAACGCCTGTTAAAATTGGACACGCGTGATGTGGAAAGGACTCAGCGAATTTTATGATATTTCAAAGTATGTAATTGGCTGTGCTTTTGCTTCACCTTCTTTTAGAGAAATAATTACTCTATTCGTCAATCTCTGCAAAGAATGCGAAATGAAGCGTCAAAATCCAAAGAGAACAGTCGTGGTGAAACCAATACGAACGCAAAGACAGAATGAAAGAAAGTGGTCACCTCTGCAATTCCAGATGCCATCGCAGTCTTAGTTGCAAGAACAAATAGTTGTTTTTTCCATGTTTTTATATACATTGTCACAATTACATTTTGTTTAGTTACATTGTTTTTATCGCTGAAGGGGTAGTTTCATCAATTTGCTGACTTAACCAGTTATTTTATTGTTTATGAATATTTCCATTTACGATAAAGCTGCCGCTAATTAAATAAAGGGTTTTGAATTGAATTTACATTAAAATACAGGAAAGCCTTTTTGGGCAAAGGTGGTGCTAACGGACTGTTCTAGGTTGCCAGAGTTAAACCTCTATAAAATTTCTAGTAAATGATTAAAAACCTTTTAAAAGCATGACACCCTACTGTGAAATAATGTTTCAATCCAAATCAGATATCTGCGGCGAGTTCAATCCAAATCGGATACAACCTATACATATTGGGTTGGTGAATCGAAAACTGCCGGCTATTGTCATAGGTGACAGTTTGAGCACTTTCTTCAAAAGAAACCCATTTTGGTGTCAATAGAAAAGTTGTGGAGAATCAAAAATGAAACTTATATCCAAATTTTCAGAACGATTCAAAAACTGGTTTTCAAGAAATGCCAAATTTACGAATTTTCACAAAACTTGCATTTTAAGCGAAACTACTAAGTGTATCTCTTTGGAAATTTGGCTATAAGCCTAATTTTTGATTCTCTACAACTTTTCTATTGACACCAAAATGGGTTTCTTTTGAAGAAAGTGCTCAAACTGGGACATCTCCAGTCCTCGATTTTTGAGTCTCACACTTGTCTCACACACAAACCAAAATCCTACCACAAAAGAGGAATCCGCAAATTACCTGTAAAATGGGCAGAAGTCGTCAATAATAATGGAAATTATTTGGAATGAATTTATGGTTTTATGTTGAATAAATTTTAGTTCAAAGTCCGGCAGTTTTCAATTCACCAACCCAATAGCAACTTTTCATGGGTAAATAAAGCTTATCGACACTTATCGTTATCGAAAGTATTTAGTTTTCGTTTTTAGTTTTTTTCGCGCAAAGGCGCGTTTTAGAATAGCATTACTTGACAATTACTCAAGGCATTACTCTAGTAAAAAATTACTTATGCAAATTTACTCAAGGTTACTCAATAGGAACACAAGCTACGCACGATACTAACATATTACTTCTGCATTCTTGTTGCATAATGATAGATTAAACCCGAAATACCTCCATATCGATTCCGGGAGTATTAACAAGGCTGAAATAAGCAGAGTGTAGCCCTTCAAAATCCGGTGAATCTTCCGCATAAGTTAAATTTCCGCTTTTGATGCCAATGAATTCACGCGTCTGGAAGCTACTGTTAACGTTACCTAGGAGTCCCAAAAGTTCTCCTGTCTCTGTTATTGTTGTTCTTTTTTGGACTACCTCATCGTTCACAAATTCATCGAAAATCGTTTTCATGTGATTGCTCAGACAAATTCCATGAGATGTCAATCTGGAGTCGTTACTAACAAGCTCACCCAAAATAGCATGATGCATCTCGTGTCCAGCCACAGCAAGCGTTGAGCCGTACTAGAGTTTTTATTCTTAAAATCTCATGTTCTATTTACCTTGACAGCCACGTCTTCTTTAGCAGAAAGGAGAAAATAAAGGTTAAACAAAGTCGGCATTTGATAATCAAAAAAATTCATAGATTGTGGGTACAAATCATATGCAATTGCTCTTGTAAGAGGTTTGTAAAGGGATGACAAGCAACTGATAGTCCTATCGATCACTCGTTTGGCAAAAGTTTGTTCGCTAAAATTGCAATATAAACAGCTTAAAATTCTTCTTAGAATCCGGAACTTTTACACTTTCACACAATATTTCAACAACAGTAAAGAATCTATAAGAATAACCTTTTTTCTTTGACCTCTGCGTACATTCCGTTTAAGGACTCGAGCAAATGTTCAAGACGCAAAACATCAACATTGATCAAACCGGAGAAGAAATTCTGCCTTGCAACGGTATGCCGAAGATCATCAACAGTTGAGTTTTGCAAATCAGGCCAACTTTTCTGCAAATTAATTATATTTGCGTTATTTTTTAATGTTATTGTACGTGTTTAACGCATTCACGGCGCGCTTTTTTGATTTTTGATTTTTCCGTACTTATTTTCCTTCCAGCTCGTCTAAAAACGTTCATAGGCAACCGATTTACTTAAGGTAGAGGTCAAAATAAAGAGCAATCTTCACAGATCATTTATCTGAAAACAGATTGGAGAAATATTCAGTTTGAAGAAAGTTTAGAATGTTTTAGCATAAGAAATTTCCCCAGATCACGGGTGACCCGGGAATTAATTTGCCTTCAAAGGTTCATAACTCTCTTCAAAGTCAATATTTCTTTAATCTGTTTTCAGATAAATGATCCTCAAACATCACTCTTCATTTTGACCTCTAACTTAAGTAAATCGGTTGCCTGTGAACGTTTTTTAGATGAGCTGGAAGGGAAATAATTTACGCAAAAGCAAAAAACCTCACCGTGAATGTGCTTGGGATAAGAACATAAAGCCTATCTACTATATGTAAAAGAGCTGTGTCTGTCTGTCTGTGCGCACTCTTCCTCCGTACTCAGTGGGTCGTTTCCAATGATTTATAGTTAGTTTGGCTTAAACTTTCATGTAGTTCTGCAACATGTTTTTAAATTTCTTAAAAATCAAAAGTGACGACGCCGGTCGTGTGGACTAGGGACAAGGGCGCTCGCACTGCGCCAGAGCATGACCGAGTGGTTAACGCGCGCGTCTCTCAAACAAACGGAAGAGGTCAGTCGCGGGTTCGACTCCTCTCGCTGCCAATTCTTTTGCTTTTTGCTTCAAAAATTTTTTATATTATAGGTAGCTTATAACCAGAGATGTGCAAATAGCCAAGCTTTGGGTAACCAGGTGAAACAGCAGATGTACTGTAATGACCTGGCATCTCTGATAGTTTTCAGCCCGGACCACGTCCGACCAAGTCTGGAAAACCTTATAACCATTTCTTCTAGATCATATGTAGTCTATAAATCTTATAGAACAGAAAGCCACCTACCTAATAAACAAGAGAAGTTTGAAAAAAACACTGAATAGATGCGGAAATTGAATATATGGATTTTACGGATTTTACGACTCACGTTTACTTGCGAAATGATCGTCTCAGTCATTCGTTCAAATTGTTCTCGTAGCATTTTTAGCGACTCATCATCATTCAGGTATTTCATTATAGCTATATGGTGTCTAAGAGCGCGGAGAAAGCGAAGGTTCTAAATGAATTTATGTCTTAAAAAAATTTTTTCTTTTTTACTGTCTCTTTTTCCACTTGTGTTGGTGTCACAAGCTTGTCGAGATGGTCAATGAACTCCTGGGAAGCAGCTCTTTCTCTAGGAGATTCTTCTTTGCGGATTGTAGTTGGGCAAACCTGATTATTAACATAAAACATACAAAAAGCAGCAAATGGATTTATCAGCAGTTATAAGTAGTCGCTAATTGTAATTAGCAATAGTTAACACTACTGAGTTTACTTACATGAGTGAAGAAATTATCACATGGATCAATTTGTTCGTCAACTGGTCGATCCACCACAAATTTCTTTAGATGTTCTCGAATGTACTGCTTGATGAAAGGAGTTTTATCCGGTTGATCTCCCAAAACGGATGAGGCTAACAGAGCCAACCTAGCAATCAGAATGCATTACTTTAAACTTATTAACTTACCAAAGTAAAGAATACATCTTTGAGCTTGCTAAAATGAAAATTATTAGAGTCTTTTATAGAAGAAGTTGAATAGTTCTTGAGTCAGCAGGTTCCATTTTCAATAAGGAAAACCATGTCTTTGGAAACTTTCAATAGGCCAACTAATAGACAAGCTATTTTAAGCAATCTAATGAAAAAGTTTATAGAAAAACTCTGCTTTGAAAAGTTGACATTAGGTACTTACAAAAGAAATTGCGGATGACTTTTGAGGACGAAAGTTTTTTATTTGAAAGTGTGATGGTCCGGTTTAAATTGTATTCTATTGTATTATTATTGCTTATTTATTTTAATTATTTTCACCACTATTGCTACCATTGAATATTAAATAATTTCAGATACAAGATGACGAATCAAAAGTTCATGTTGCGGACGTGCCTTCTTCATGACTTCAAAATGAAGAAATTAGCATCGAAGTCGCACATCGACGTTGAGTCTTTGTGAAGCATTCGGAGAAAACATTTTGAGTGAAAGGACTTGTAAGGAATGGCTTCGACGTTTTCGTGAAGGTGAGAGCTTGGAAGGTGAGCCTCATGGATATTGTCTAGTTGTCTTCGATAATGCAGAGCTGCTGGAGATTGTCGAGTCGGATCCAACTCAAACTTTTAGCCCGAATTAGCCAAATAATTTAAATGTGGTCTGAGCACCGTTTCTTGACACCTTTCGCTCATTGGAAAAAGGAATCGTTGTGGCCAATGGGTCCACCTGAATTATCCCCGAAAATCAAAGGCAATCAAGTTTTATTGTCTCGGATTCTATTGAAAAAGGCTACGGGCAGTGTTTTTTGAAAGCATCTTGACGATGGACGAAAAGTGGATATATTTTGATAACACAACACACAAAAGACAATGGTTGAGCAAAGGAGAAAGGTCGATTCCGACCCACATCCAGATCTTCACGGAAAGAAATTTATGTTGTCGGTCTTTTGGAATATAAAAGAAATCGTCTATTTTGAATTATGAAAATCTTCAAAAACTATCACTTCTCAAATATACACCGAACAGCTGAAGAAAGCTGATGAAATTCTACGAGAAAAAGGTGTTAAACCAAGAACAATACATTTGCTCGCTGACAATGCCCGGTACGCACATCAAACTTGGCTCAAAACACGATAGAAGAATTAGGCTGGAACCTTGTGCCTTATTCGCCATATTCGCCTGATATTGCTCCCTGGTGTAGACACCCAAAGAAGCTTTTTTTCAGTGTTTGGTGGTCGGGCTTCGGAAAGGGATTCGGTGGTTGTCCTTTGTCTAGCCTTTGCGTTTTCGGTTATCCATTATTCATCACAAGTTAAAATTCGATCCAGAAATGGCTCCTTTTGATTACGAATCAGCAATGAATATGATGTGAGGTAGCGGTGCAATTTTTGATATTCTTTTAACCGATGAGACACCCACTTTTCCAACTTCTTTACTTTTTCGATTTTCTTGAAATGGTTCCCAATTGTGTGTAGAATTCCAAAGTGCGTTGCTAATTTTGCCTCAGTTGTTCTGGGATCCCCTTCTAGCAGCTCCTTTAATTCGTCATTGTCGAGACTAACATGACGTCCGCGGCCTTCCTTGTCATTAAGATCCTCGTCGTCTTCCCGGAATTGTTTGAACCAGCGGTGAACTGCTGGAACTTCAGCTTTGCCTTCTCCAAAAGCTTGATTGGTGTGTTGGGACGCTTCTGACGCATTGTGGCCAAGCTTGAACTCATTCAAGAAGAGAAGGCGAAAATCTCGATTTTTCATCGATGTAAAAAAATCTAAAAAAACCATTAAGAAAGTTCTAAGCAAAAGTGTTAAACAGAAAAGAAAATTGAGAATATACACAAATGAAATACATAAAAAGACCCAATATCAATAAGCATCTGCAGCCGCGTAGGCAACGCCGGAAAATGAGACCCACAAACACGACATTAATTTTTTCCGTATCTAAAAAAATAAAAAAATCCTAAAACGGCAACCAGAAGAAGCAGCCGTTAGGCTTCTCTGTTTGTATAATTGTACTCTAATTTCCGGCTGTGATTCTATGATATCTCTATGGTAATCTTCAAAATAGACATCGTAACCCTTTGTACTCATGAAAGCTCTGATTTTTGCATTTTGTAGGTTCTATTTTGTTTTATTCGTTGTCAAATCTGTTATCAAATGTTTATTTTATCCTCTGCTCAACTCGTGTGCAAATAAACTGATGGCAAATCAAAGCTCAAAGAAAAAAAAGACAAAAATTGGTTGCAGAATGCATAATATTGAATCTATCACTAACTTTTGAATCATTTTCATTTTCTGATATGACTAAATGGATTTGAGATCAAAGAAGAGAAGGGATTTCTGCAAGGAGATCACATATTGAAGATTCTTTTCGAAAATGTACAAAAATCGAGTGCCTATAGAAAATTATTTTCTTTGTTTTTTAAAAAAAGAGATTATCGATGATTTCTAAGGCAAGCTTGAAGGGATTAGATGAAAAAAGGTGGTCATTTGGTTTAAAATTGGAACTTCTCTGGATCCATCACATCTCTTGGCGCAAATCGAGCCATACATTTGCCCACCATCGGATTTTTGAAACAATTCGCCCTGAAAGGGAAAGTTTATGTGAAAATCTATTGGATTCCTGGTTACAATCTGATTTATATCACAATCTGTAATAGTTAGATATCGTAGTATTCTTTCAATAATGCATAGTATGCTCAATCCCGAAGATACAATGGTTAAC